CGCCACACACATTCAAAATTTGCTAATGGCCGAATTTTCGGCCATTACGGCACTTGAGGGTTCGGATAAGAGACAGCTTGGTACTTACGGGTTCAAACGGGTACTCTCGCTAAAACGTCCTGACTAATGGTGGCCGAATTTCTGGGTTCTGCTATTTTATACGCCCTTAGAGTATGACGTTTGTAGGAGGAGATGTTACTTATCTGTTTACAAGGTCTTGTGTCTGTGGTGAGCCTTGACTGTTCAAAGGAGTTCAGCTCAGCCCCTCATTTTGATGCTTGAAGGTACATCTTCGTCGATTAGCGATAACAAGGACAAAGGCAGCGGGTAGTTGAGAGCACCCCTAGCTACAGTAATGTTCTGAGGTACACACAAGAATGATTTTTCTACGCAGTCCTTCCCGACCTTATTAGGCAGGAATGCTGTACACAGTGTCATGTTGACGACTTGATCCAGACCGCCTCTGATCGTCCCGATCTGAGGCAATCAATGAACTCCAGGAAGCCCCGAGGCCAATTTCAGGCAATCAGGGGCAATCATTTGATCGCGATTAACTGATCGCCCCAACTCGATCAACCGCCTCAAACACCCCAATCAATCACGATCACACAAAATCAGTCACGATCACTTGATTGCATGGGATTGGGGAACTATGCAAAACCTGCGAATCAGTTACAGTGTCTTGTTAAATTTCGTTAGGTCGTCGCACATGCATCTTTAATGTGGAATTGGCGATATTACATAGAAACATAGAATTCGCTACGCTTCGTTCTCGCCAAAAATGGGACGAAAGGGTTAGAAAATGCTGAAGCGCTTGCGAGACAGGCGATTTGAATTTTCTAGGAATATCAGTACTGATCGGGCGGCGCGAGCAATGCAATCACAAGCAACCCGATCAGATCCGCCCCGATATGATCAGCGCCGACCAGAGACGGTCTGACCACGTCCTAAAGGTCACTTCTACAGAATAGTCCGGATTCGAAAAGAGGCTACTGAAGCACTTGCTTCTGGAGTTTCAATGCTGTGAGGATTTGTTTCTAGCTTGCCATGTGAGGAGAAACTAAATTGTATGTACCTCGCTGGGAACAATACACAGTTTTGTGGTGCTCGAGGAAATTTGGGTAGCCCATATTTCCGGTTTGGGTGAGGAACAGAGTTGCTCCTGCCCGCGCGCAGGCGCAACACCTACGCGCTTCCTCTCCGCTCGGTTGCTCTCTGGGATGATCTGCGGTACTGTAACGACGTGAGAATAATTCCTCACCCTGAATTTCTATATTGGATCTTGATGAGAAATACTGTACTGTACAGAATTTTCCCGCCTCGGATTTGCTGCCGAATGGAACCAGAATACCAGTGCTACCGTGTGTAACTTCGGATGGCTGGAGAATTTCCACGATATGGACCCTACCCGACAGTCCCCGGCAGCCAGCAAAAGAAGAGCCGACTGACATAGCGGTTGAAAGCGGTGAGCCAGAGAACTTCCACATGGAACAGAAGCACGTGTGAAATACTCCCCTGAAGCTTCACTGTGAGCCCATTAGAGCTGGTTCAGCGTACGCTATAAGGAGCAGTTGGAGGATATGTTATGGAGATTCTTAAGTTCTCTACTCTCAATAAAAAATATAGAGAACTACATCAATTTCAGAGTGGATCCTGTGATACTTATAGGCCTCAACTCGCAGCCTGATATCTCGTTTCTGTGAGGCTAAATTTGAGGCTGCGTATGCTCAAGATGGATGGTAGGAAGTGGAAATGGAAATGGAAGACCAAAAAGAACTAGGTACAAGGGGCGTGCAGTGCAGATGAAATATTTTAGAGCTTGTAGAATTTCAAGTCTCGCTTTGCCGAAGATTTTGTGCTAGAAGCTGCCAAATAGCAGCCTAGATGCTTTAGGCAGGGGTATTCGCGGCCAGCATCGGAGCTGCTACTATATTCCATACGCAAATTCAGTGAGCGTATTAGGCAAACAAAAGCAGATAGCGTTAGCAGCGCCGTTTACTAATGGAAGCAGGACGAGACGGTCACGATGCCATCTCCGCAGGTGTCGCAAACGGCGACAACGTGTGCGACATTCGCGAAGACGGTAACGACGACGATAACGATGACGATGCGCTGGACGATCTTTTGGAGTCGTCGTTCCAGGAGCACTGCCGCGAGAAGCTAGCCGTCGCAAAATCCATTCCGGCTGCCGTCAGTAACCCAATAACGTCGTGTCGCGTCCCGACAAGCTCTGCGGGGCTCGAATTCCGCGAATTCCGCGACCCGCTCCCGTTGCGCGCAGGACACGCCAGCCGCCACTCGTCTGAGCTCGAATTCCGCGAATTCCGCGACTCGCAGGCGTTGCGCACAACGCACACCTCGTTTGAGCTATTACCTCGGCGTGGCGGCAGCGCGATTGTAGCGGAGGGTGGTCGTTGCGTGCAGAACACGCCAGTATCCACTGCGGCTGTTAAGAGTGAAGCTAAGGAAATATTTCCCGGTTCTGGTACTGGTGGTGGTTCTACTCTCGCTGCTGCTGTTGCCGTTGCTGCGCCTGGAGTTGTTGCGGCTATCGAGAATCCCTCAACGGCAACACTATCAAAGCCAATCCTCTCCAATTCGCCCTTTTCCGCATCCCTTGACGCGTCCTCCGCGAATCTGGACCGTCCGAAGATCTCCTTCGCGTTTCCAGGATGGGCGGTCGAGATCAGCCGGGCGAAGGAATCGACGGTCGTGGTGGACAGCGCGAGCGGGGGGCGGAGGGGAGATATCCGAAAGGGAGAGAAGCGAAAGAGGAGAACCAGACCTGGACAGGAGGGGGGAGAGGGAGAGAATAATCAAGATTTGGAGGGGGGAGGGGAGAGAGAAGAGGCGGACGAGAGAGAGGAGAGGGAGGAGAGGGAGAGAGTGTGGATGGGTGTAGAGCTAGGGGACAGGGTACCGTTCCTCTCCTTGCCTCAAGAGATTCTGACCATGCTCTGTTCAAGGGTGTCCTGGCGAGACTTATGCACACTTAGGTAAGCATCCTGAGTTATCAATGACTTCAAACTTAGGTAAGCCCTGGAGTATTCATGCTTCTGCATTTGCTTACCATTTTCTCCACCCGCTTTGCCTTGTTACATGCCCTCGCACTTCCCCCAGGGTTACATCCAAAACCGTACGGGATCAACTAGACAGAGATGAAATCTGGGCGGCGGCAGCAGCAGAGGCAAGCAGGCAGGGCGACATCAAGCTGCCCTGGGCACGCAAGTCGTTTGCAGGCTTGGGAGCCGTGATAAGCGGGCAGGCGATAGGTGGGGAGGCGATAAGTGGGCAAGCAATAAGCGGGCAGGCGATAGGCGGGCAGGCGATAAGCGGGCAGACGATATGCGGGCAGGTGATAAGCGGGCAGGCGATAAGCGGGCAAGCGACAAGCGCTAGTCTGGGTGATGGGGAGTGCACGATGGAAGGTGGTGCAGCAGGCGATGCATGGTGGCAGCAGCATCTGTTGCTGCTGCAGCAACAGCAGCAGTCCCACATACCCATGTGAGTTGACTTCTGAGTAAGCGGGACTCGAAAGTCCCCTCAGCTGCAACAGCAGAACTGTACATGCTCTTGTGAGTTTGGACTGTACATGCTCTTGTGAGTTTGGACTGTACATGCTCTTGTGAGTTTGGACTGTACATGCTCTTGTGAGTTTGGACTGTACATGCTCTTGTGAGTTTGGACTGTACATGCTCATGTGAGTTTGGACTGTACATGCTCTTGTGAGTTTGGACTGTACATGCTCTTGTGAGTTTGGACTGTACATGCTCATGTGAGTTTGGCTGTACATGCTCATGTGAGTTTGGAATGTTCATGCTCATGTGAGTTTGGAATGTACATGCTCATGTGAGTTTGGAATGTACATGCTCATGTGAGTTTGGACTGTACATGCTCATGTGAGTTTGGACTGTACATGCTCATGTGAGTTTGGACTGTACATGCTCATGTGAGTTTGGAATGTACATGCTCATGTGAGTTTGGACTGTACATGCTCATGTGAGTTTGGACTGTACATGCTCATGTGAGTTTGGACTGTACATGCTCGTGTGAGTTTGGACTGTACATGCTCATGTGAGTTTGGAATGTACATGCTCATGTGAGTTTGGAATGTACATGCTCGTGTGAGTTTGGACTGTACATGCTCATGTGAGTTTGGAATGTACATGCTCATGTGAGTTTGGAATGTACATGCTCATGTGAGTTTGGAATGTACATGCTCATGTGAGTTTGGAATGTACATGCTCATGTGAGTTTGGAATGTACATGCTCATGTGAGTTTGGACTGTACATGCTCATGTGAGTTTGGACTGTACATGCTCATGTGAGTTTGGACTGTACATGCTCTTGTGAGTTTGGACTGTACATGCTCATGTGAGTTTGGCTGTACATGCTCATGTGAGTTTGGCTGTACATGCTCATGTGAGTTTGGAATGTTCATGCTCATGTGAGTTTGGCTGTACATGCTCATGTGAGTTTGGAATGTTCATGCTCATGTGAGTTTGGACTGTACATGCTCTCACCTGCTTTTGACCTGCTTTTGACTTCCTGCAACCCACCCTGGATAGATGGTGGGATGATGAAATGGATAGGTAGAGAGATGAATACTCAGCAACCTTGTTTTGGTTATTTTCCCTCTCCCCTACAGGCACTACCTCTTCAAGTCTCTCGTGCTGTCCACACGCATACGAGAGAAGCTACCAGTGCTGTCGCCTGCCTTTGACTTTCTGCAATCCACCCTGGACAGATGGTGGGATGATGAGATGGATTGGTGGTGGGGGGAGGAGAAGAAGAAGAAGCAGCATGCGCAGTTGGGGGGGAAGGATCGTGTAGGCGATAATCAGCAGCAGCACCATCAGCGGACGGTAGTGAAAGGGGTAGCTGGGAAAAGCAGGGAAGGGAAGAGGAGGAGGAGGATGGTTGGGAGTGCGAGGGAGTGTGAAGGAAGGGGGGAAGATGGGAGTGGGAGGAACAGGGGCAGAGGAAGGATTGGTGAGAAAATGAGAGTGATTCAGGGTTTAAGTAGGGGTTGTGCAGGGAGAGGGGACAGGAAGAGTAGGGAGAGGCATCTTGAATATGCATCACAGGAAGCAGCATCACAGGAAGCAGCATCACAGGAAGCAGCATCACAGGAAGCAGCATCACAGGAAGCAGCAGCACAGGAAGCAGCAGCACAGGAAGCAGCAGCACAGGAAGCAGTAGGTTGTGCAGCCCAGAATTCAGTAGGAGGTGGTTCAAATGTGGCTGCAGCAGCAGCAGCAGCTACCGCAGCAGGCACGGCTGCAGCAGCAGCAGCACAAGAAGCAGCATCACAGGAAGCAGCATCACAGGAAGCAGCATCACAGGAAGCAGCAGCACAGGAAGCAGCATCACAGGAAGCAGCAGCACAGGAAGCAGCATCACAGGAAGCAGCATCACAGGAAGCAGCAGCACAGGAAGCAGCATCACAGGAAGCAGCAGCACAGGAAGCAGCATCACAGGAAGCAGCAGCACAGGAAGCAGCAGCACAGGAAGCAGCAGGTTGTGCAGCCCAGAAGTCAGTAGGAGGTGGTTCAAATGTGGCTGCAGCAGCAGCAGCAGCTACCGCAGCAGGCACGGCAGCAGCAGTGCTTTTCTCGCAAACAGTAGCAGAAGAGGCAGCAGGAGTAGCAGCAGTGGCAGCAGCACCAGCAGCGAAACTAGCAGAGGCAGGGGGAGAGGCAGAGGCAGAGGCAATGGTAGCAGGCACAGCAGCAGCAGGAGTGCATTTCTCACAGGCAGTAGCACAAGAGGCGGCAGGGGAGGCAGCAGCAGCAGCACGAGCAGCGAACGTATCAGAAGCAGAGGCAGAGGCAATGGTAGCAGGCACAGCAGCAGCAGGAGTGCATTTCTCACAGGCAGTAGCACAAGAGGCGGCAGGGGAGGCAGCAGCAGCAGCACGAGCAGCGAACGTATCAGAAGCAGAGGCAGAAGCAGTGGTAGCAGGCACAGCAGCAGGAGTGCATTTCTCACAGGCTGTAGCTGAAGAGGCGGCAGGGGAGGCAGCAGCAGCAGCAGCGTCTCTTCTGGTGGAGGCTCTACTGGCCTACCCCCTGCTGTCCCTGCTGCCCTTTGCGCCCCTGCCTGTTGTTGGTCCGAAGGAGGGGGAGGATGGGGAGGAGTCAGAGGAGGAGGGTGATAAGGAGGGAAAGGAGAGAGAAGAGAGAGAAGAAGGCAAGGAGGAAGAGGAGGGAGAGGGGGGAGAGGAGGAAGAGGAGGACGAAGAGGGCGAAGAGGAGGAGGAAGAGGAGGAAAAGGAGGAGGAAGAGGAGGAAGAAGAGGAAGAGGAGGAAGAGGAGGAGGAAAAGGGTGAAGAGGAAGAGGAGGAGGAGGAAGAGGAGGAAGAGGGAGACACGGATGAGGGAGGGGAGGAGTCAAATACAGCAGCGGCACAGGAGGAGGATGAATTAGACCTTGCAACGGTGCAAGCACATGATTCCGATGCGGTGAGGCGGGCAGTTAAAAAACTTACTAGTTTCAACTGGGCCGTGGCCTATGAGGGGCTGGCTGTGGTATTTGGGAGTAGGGCGGATAGGATTGCGTGGGAGGTGGAGGGGGGATGGGGAGGAGAGGGGTCGAGAGAGAAGGGAGAATTGGGAGGAGAGGGGAGGGAGGAGGGGTGTGAGGAACAGTATGGGGCAGCGAGTGAGAGGGGGGCAGCAGAGAAGCGTTATATATCCATAGGTGAGGAGGGAGAGGAGTGGAGAGGGGAGTGCGTAGAGAGAAAGTATAGGAGGGAGGAGGAGGAGGATGGAGAGAGGGATGGAGAGAGGTACGAAGGAGGAGGAGGAGGAGGAGGAGGAGGAGGAGGAGGAGGAGGAGGAGGAGGAGGAGGAGGAGGAGGAGGAGGAGGAGGAGGAGGAGGAGGAGGAGGAGGAGGAGGAGGAGGAGGAGGGGAGGAAAGACGAGAAGGGATGGAAAAAGGAGAAGGGAAGGGAGGTGGGAATGGAGGAGAGGGAGTAAGGAAGGAGGAGGAGTGGGAGGAATGGGATAGAGAGTGGGCAATAGAGGATGCAGAGAAAGTGGGTCGGTTGCTGGTAGGGGGGAAGAGGAAGCGGGGAGGAAGGGGAGACGGGAAGGGAGTGGAGAACGATAAGGGTGGTGAGAGTGATGCGAGATGCACGAGGATAAAGAAAGAAGGAAAGGGAGTGAGGCAGGAAGGTATGTTTGGTTCAAAACTCCCAAGGAAAGATCCCCGAAAGAAGGAGCCGGCGTTTGAAGCGAAAGGGGAAGGACGTGAGGAAGAAAATATTAGTACAGGAAGGCTACAGCTAGGAGCAGGCGGCGGTATTGGTGTTCAAGGTGCAACTTCTGCTGCAGTTTCAAGGGAGGGAGAAGCTTTTGAGAATTCTCAACAGTTAAGGGCAGGCAATATGGGTGCTCAAGGGGTAACTTCTGCTGCTGTTTCAAGGGAGGGAGAAAAGCTGGAAGCAGCAGCGAGTCTGTGGCAGAGGGATAGTATTGTGGATAGTGAGCTCACAGCACCTAGCAAGGCACAGAGGGAGGGAGGAGGGAAGCTGGGAGCAGCAGTGAGGTTGTGGCAGCGGGTGGTACAGCAGTGGGGGGTGTACCGGAGGTGGCTCAAGCTGGTGGCGCTGCATTGCCCCAACCTGCAGTTTGAAGTGATGATTGAACGCGCCAGGTGAGGTGCGGTGGGGTGCGGTGACGTGCGGTGGAGCAGGGCAGGTAGCAGTGAGGTTGTGGCGGAGGGCAAGCAGCACACCTCTTATCAAGCTCAAGCTGGTGGCGTTGCATTGCCCCAACCTGCAGTTTAAATTGATGATTGAACGAGCGAGTGATTCACCGGGTGAAGTGCGGTGCAGTGAGGTGAGGTGAGATGCGGTGGGGCAGAGCAGGCAGCACGCCTCTACTCAAGCTGGTGGCGTTGCATTGCCCCAACCTGCAGTTTGAAGTGATGATTGAACGCACCAGGTGAGATGCGGTGGGGTGCGGTGAGGTTGGGTGGAACAGAGGGGGTTGGAGGGGTGGGTGGGGGGTGTACCGCAGGTGGCTGAAGCTGGTGTCGTTGCATTGCCCCAACCTGCAGCTTGAAGTGATGATTGAACGCGCCAGGTGAGTTGCAGTGCGATGCAGTGAGGTGAGGTGAGGTGGAGCAGGGCAGGCAGCTGTGAGGTTGTGCCAGAGGGTGCTGCAGCAGTGGGGGGTGAGGTGAGGTGAGATGGGAGAGAAAGAGAGGAGGCGGCAGACAAGTGCTTTTGAAGTGTTTTCGAAGTGTTTTTGAAGTGTTTTGTGTGACAATTTTCACCGCTTCAGCACCCTCTGAGGCAATCCAGAGGGATCTATTTTTGAAGTGCCTCAGAAGTGTTTGGTGTGGCAATTTTCTAGTATAAGCCGGCCTTGGAGTCGACTCAAAAGTCACCAGTATAAGCCGGCCTTTGAGTCGACTCAAAAGTCACCAGTATAAGGTGGCCTTTGAGTTGACTCAAAAGTCACCAGTATAAGCCGGCCTTTGAGTCGACTCAAAAGTCACCAGTGTAAGCCGGCCTTTGAGTCGACTCAAAAGTCACCAGTATAAGCCGGCCTTTGAGTCGACTCAAAAGTCACCAGTATAAGCCGGCCTTTAAAGCCCGCGGCCCAAATTGCGAAGCGCGCAGAGCTACCTTAGTAATCCTGGCGGGGAGGGGCGTGTGAAACCAAACTCAAAAGTAAAAAACAGAACTTGCGTAAAAAACAGAACTTGCGTCAAAAACAGAACTTGCGTCAAAAACAGAACCTGCGTAAAAAACAGAACTTGCGTCAAAAACCACCTGAAAACCACCTGAAAAACACCTGGGTCGACCTTACTAAACTTGTGCAACTTTGGCTGCGAGCTTTAACTAGCAGTCACCACCCTGTACTCGCAGAAAGCTTTTTGAGACGTCTCAAAGCAGTCTCCACCCTGTACACGCAGAAAGCTTGAAGCAGCAGCGGCCTAGGCATGAATGCCCCCTTCCAGTCTCGTTACGTTTCCTCACTTCTCTGTATCCATTCATCCATTTCTTCCTCTCCTCTACTCCCAATCCCTCTGTTCCCCCTCTCTCCAGATCGAACCACCACTCGGCTACACCTACAGTCTACGACAAGGGACTCATCAGGGTGTTTTTGAGAATTCTCAAAAACACCCTGCAGCATCTCGAACCACCACCGGCTACACCTACAGTCTATGACAAGGGACTCATCAGCTTCAGGTGGAACCACTGCTCACCCCATTCCACCCCCCTCCGATCCTTCCTTCCCCCTCTTTCCCTCTTCTCTCGGCCACACCACACCGACAGGCTATGACAAAAGAGTCATCAGCTTCAGGTGCTGCAGGGTTTTTTTTGAGAAGTCTAAAAAAAAAACCCTGCAGGGGGTCATCAGCTTCAGGTGGAACCACCGTTCACCATACTTCAACTCCCTCTACCTCCCCCCACCCACCCCATTCCACCCCGCTCCTATCCTTCCTCCTCTCTCTTTCTCGCCAGGTCGAACCACCACTCGGCTACACCGACAGTCTATGACAAGGGGGTCATCAGCTTCAGGTAATGCACTCAACATTATACCCGCCCACTTTTTATCCATGGTGCTTTTACTCCCTTCTCTCCCGCATGTTCGCATGACTTCCCTCTTTGTTTCTCCCCTTTTCCCTCTCTCGTATTCTCCTTTTGAGAATTCTTTGAGAATTCTCTCTCATATTCTCCATTTCACAATTCTCTCTCGTTTTCTCCTTTTGAGAATTCTTTGAGAATTCTCTCTCATATTCTCCTTTCGACATTTCTCTCTCGTATTCTCCTGGTGCCATTGATCTCTCTTCATTTCGCTCTCGTGCGTTCCCTTCTCAACCTCTCAGAAACAACGTTCTTCTAGCCTGTGCCTTGTGCCTTGTGCCTTGTGCCTTGTGCCTTGTGCCTTGTGCCTTGTGCCTTGTGCCTTGCGCCGCTGCTTTCAAGAGTGTCTTCTCATTCTCATCGACGTTGCCCATGCTGCTTTTGACGCCCCATACTGCCTTCTGTTACTCTCGTCTCTCTTGTATGGTTCCCACCTCACCATCCCTGGAGCAACGTTCTTTTAGCCTTAGGCCTGCGCCGCCAGTTTCAAGAGTCTATTCAACTTCTCCTCAAACCCACTTCTGTTACTCTCATCCCTCTCGTATGTTTTCATCTCACCTTCCCAGGAGCAATGTGCTTTTAGCCTTTGGCCTGCGCCGCCGCTTTCAAGAGTCTCTCCTTCTTCTCATCGACGCCGCTCACACTGCTTTCTCTTCCCTTCCTTCTTGTGCGTTGCCTTCCATTCCCATCCTCCCAGGAGCAGTGTCCTGTTAGCCTTAGGCCTGCGCCGCCAGTTTCAAGAGTCTATTTAACTTCTCCTCAAACTCCCTTCTGTTACTCTCATCCCTCTCGTATTTTTTCATCTCACCTTCCCAGGAGCAATGTGCTTTTAGCCTTTGGCCTGCGCCGCCGCTTTCAAGAGTCTCTCCTTCTTCTCATCGACGCCGCTCACACTGCTTTCTACGCCCCAACGCACGGCACTTCCGCTTCAAGTGCTGCTGCAATAGTCCCTGACACAGCGCACCTGGTTCCACTGCTAAAGCAGATTAAGCATCTCTTTCAAGTAAGTGTGATCTTCGTCTTTTTGGTGTGCATTACAGGGCAGATCAAATCACCCGTATTTAAAACGGAAATCTAGCCCGCCATATATCCAACCTATTGCGGGTAGGACAGATGGCACTGCATCACAGGTCAGCTCAATCACCTGTTCCGAAGGAAATTTTGTAAGCGCCTCAAAAATCAGCTCAATCACCTGTTCCGAAGGAAATTTTGTAAGCGCCTCAAAAATCAGCTCAATCACCTGTTCCGAAGGAAATTCTGTAAGCGCCTCAAAAATCAGCTCAATCACCTGTTCCGAAGGAAATTCTGCAAGCGCCTCAAAAATCAGCTCAATCACCTGTTCCGAAGGAAATTCTGTAAGCGCCTCAAAAATCAGCTCAATCACCTGTTCCGAAGGAAATTCTGTAAGCGCCTCAAAAATCAGCTCAATCACCTGTTCCGAAGGAAATTCTGTAAGCGCCTCAAAAATCAGCTCAATCACCTGTTCCGAAGGAAATTCTGTAAGCGCCTCAAAAATCAGCTCAATCACCTGTTCCGAAGGAAATTCTGTAAGCGCCTCAAAAATCAGCTCAATCACCTGTTCCGAAGGAAATTCTGTAAGCGCCTCAAAAATCAGCTCAATCACCTGTTCCGAAGGAAATTTTGTAAGCGCCTCAAAAATCAGCTCAATCACCTGTTCCGAAGGAAATTCTGTAAGCGCCTCAAAAATCAGCTCAATCACCTGTTCCGAAGGAAATTCTGTAAGCGCCTCAAAAATCAGCTCAATCACCTGTTCCGAAGGAAATTTTGTAAGCGCCTCAAAAATCAGCTCAATCACCTGTTCCGAAGGAAATTCTGTAAGCGCCTCAAAAATCAGCTCAATCACCTGTTCCGAAGGAAATTTTGTAAGCGCCTCAAAAATCAGCTCAATCACCTGTTCCGAAGGAAATTCTGTAAGCGCCTCAAAAATCAGCTCAATCACCTGTTCCGAAGGAAATTCTGTAAGCGCCTCAAAAATCAGCTCAATCACCTGTTCCGAAGGAAATTCTGTAAGCGCCTCAAAAATCAGCTCAATCACCTGTTCCGAAGGAAATTTTGTAAGCGCCTCAAAAATCAGCTCAATCACCTGTTCCGAAGGAAATTCTGTAAGCGCCTCAAAAATCAGCTCAATCACCTGTTCCGAAGGAAATTCTGTAAGCGCCTCAAAAATCAGCTCAATCACCTGTTCCGAAGGAAATTCTGTAAGCGCCTCAAAAATCAGCTCAATCACCATTTCCGAAGGAAATTCTGTAAGCGCCTCAAAAATCAGCTCAATCACCTGTTCCGAAGGAAATTTTGTAAGCGCCTCAAAAATCAGCTCAATCACCTGTTCCGAAGGAAATTCTGTAAGCGCCTCAAAAATCAGCTCAATCACCTGTTCTGAAGGAAATTCTGTAAGCGCCTCAAAAATCAGCTCAATCACCTGTTCCGAAGGAAATTCTGTAAGCGCCTCAAAAATCAGCTCAATCACCTGTTCCGAAGGAAATTCTGTAAGCGCCTCAAAAATCAGCTCAATCACCTGTTCCGAAGGAAATTCTGTAAGCGCCTAAAAAATCAGCTCAATCACCTGTTCTGAAGGAAATTCTGTAAGCGCCTCAAAAATCAGCTCAATCACCTGTTCCGAAGGAAATTTTGTAAGCGCCTCAAAAATCAGCTCAATCACCTGTTCCGAAGGAAATTCTGTAAGCGCCTCAAAAATCAGCTCAATCACCTGTTCCGAAGGAAATTCTGTAAGCGCCTCAAAAATCAGCTCAATCACCTGTTCTGAAGGAAATTCTGTAAGCGCCTAAAAAATCAGCTCAATCACCTGTTCGGAAGGAAATTTTGTAAGCGCCTCAAAAATCAGCTCAATCACCTGTTCCGAAGGAAATTCTGTAAGCGCCTAAAAAATCAGCTCAATCACCTGTTCCGAAGGAAATTCTATAAGCGCCTCAAAAATCAGCTCAATCACCTGTTCCGAAGGAAATTTTGTAAGCGCCTAAAAAATCAGCTCAATCACCTGTTCCGAAGGAAATTCTGTAAGCGCCTCAAAAATCAGCTCAATCACCTGTTCCGAAGGAAATTCTGTAAGCGCCTCAAAAATCAGCTCAATCACCTGTTTCGAAGGAAATTCTGTAAGCGCCTCAAAAATCAGCTCAATCACCTGTTCCGAAGGAAATTCTGTAAGCGCCTCAAAAATCTGCTCAATCACCTGTTCCGAAGGAAATTCTGTAAGCGCCTCAAAAATCAGCTCAATCACCTGTTCCGAAGGAAATTCTGTAAGCGCCTCAAAAATCAGCTCAATCACCTGTTCCGAAGGAAATTTTGTAAGCGCCTCAAAAATCAGCTCAATCACCTGTTCCGAAGGAAATTCTGTAAGCGCCTCAAAAATCAGCTCAATCACCTGTTCCGAAGGAAATTTTGTAAGCGCCTCAAAAATCAGCTCAATCACCTGTTCCGAAGGAAATTCTGTAAGCGCCTCAAAAATCAGCTCAATCACCTGTTCCGAAGGAAATTCTGTAAGCGCCTCAAAAATCAGCTCAATCACCTGTTCCGAAGGAAATTCTGTAAGCGCCTCAAAAATCAGCTCAATCACCTGTTCCGAAGGAAATTCTGTAAGCGCCTCAAAAATCAGCTCAATCACCTGTTCCGAAGGAAATTCTGTAAGCGCCTCAAAAATCAGCTCAATCACCTGTTCCGAAGGAAATTCTGTAAGCGCCTCAAAAATCAGCTCAATCACCTGTTCCGAAGGAAATTCTGTAAGCGCCTCAAAAATCAGCTCAATCACCTGTTCCGAAGGAAATTCTGTAAGCGCCTCAAAAATCAGCTCAATCACCTGTTCCGAAGGAAATTTTGTAAGCGCCTCAAAAATCAGCTCAATCACCTGTTCCGAAGGAAATTCTGTAAGCGCCTCAAAATCAGCTCAATCACCTGTTCCGAAGGAAATTTTGTAAGCGTCTCAAAAATCAGCTCAATCACCTGTTCCGAAGGAAATTCTGTAAGCGCCTCAAAAATCAGCTCAATCACCTGTTCCGAAGGAAATTCTGTAAGCGCCTCAAAAATCAGCTCAATCACCTGTTCCGAAGGGAATTCTGTAAGCGCCTCAAAAATCAGCTCAATCACCTGTTCCGAAGGAAATTCTGTAAGCGCTTCAAAAATCAGCTCAATCACCTGTTCCGAAGGAAATTCTGTAAGCGCCTCAATAATCAGCTCTATCACCTGTTCCGAAGGCAATTTTGTAAGCGCCTCAAAAATCAGCTCAATCACCTGTTCCGAAGGAAATTCTGTAAGCGCCTCAAAAATCAGCTCAATCACCTGTTCCGAAGGAAATTTTGTAAGCGCCTCAAAAGTCAGCTCAATCACCTGTTCCGAAGGAAATTCTGTAAGCGCCTCAAAAATCAGCTCAATCACCTGTTCCGAAGGAAATTTTGTAAGCGCCTCAATAATCAGCTCAATCACCTGTTCCGAAGGAAATTAGGTAGGCGCCTCAAAAATCAGCTCAATCACCTGTTCCGGAGGTAAGGGGGTCAAGTCTAAGTTTGCAAGATCATTCAGCCAACCTTGACCCCGAATCAGATTTTCTTGAATTTCTAGGAACAAATTTTGCAAGTCTTGATCCAATTGCTTAAGCGATTTCTTTAGGTTTGCTGCTACTCCCAATATGAACTTGGATCATTCAGCCAACCTTGATCCCGAGTCCAAATTTTCAGCCTCTAAAGTAGCTACATCTGACTGAACCACTCACATGCAGGAATCGGACATGGCTGGATGAATGGTGCAACCATCCATCCGTCCATTCTGATGTCCACTGTGCATTCTGTGCACAGTGTATTGAATATTCCCTTGTCCCTCCATCCGTCTCTATTCTGAACCCCCCACACACTCACACACTCACAAAGGAGTCGGACATGGCTCATGACGCCATGCCACCGTTGCCTGCCAATACTTACAACCTGTTTTTACTTTTAGAATCCTCGAAGTATGTTTTTTGAGAATTCTCAAAAAACAGATTCGCCTTACACAAGGAACACCACTTGGTGGTGGGAGACATTACGAGGCTGCGGCTTCTGTAGTTAGCAAAAAGTTTAAAATTTAGAACACTTCAGGCTCGAGGGCCTGCTTGTAGAAAAAATTCTTGTGTGAATCAATATGGCGGTAACTAGTTTCTCAAAAAACAGATTCGCCTTACAACCGCACTTGTCAATCCCCGAGTCTTAACGACATGTTGAAACCCCCCCCCCTTCCCCCCGCTACTCCCACCCTTTACCACACACACACACAGGAGCTGGACGTGGCTGATGATGAGGTGACTTTTGAGTCGACTCAAAAGTCACATGTTGAGACAGCCCCCCTTTCCCCCCTACTCCCACCCTTTACCCCACACACACACAGGAGCTGGACGTGGCTGATGATGCCACCTCCCCCCGTCACACACAGGAACTGACCTCATCTGACCCCTTGTTACCCCATCTGACTCCTTGTTACCCCATCTGACTCCTTGTTACCCCATCTGACTCCTTGTCACCACACACAAACACAGGAGCTGGATGTGGCTGATGATGCCACCCTCCCCCCCATCACGCACACCCAGACCAAGTTTAGGCGCTGCTTCTCCACCCTGCTTAAAAAAGAGCTGCTGCCTGGACTTTTAACTAAGCGCCGAGCCTCTGCCGCTGCTGCTCCTCACTGTGGTGCTAATGCTGGCGGTTTTAGTGTTGGAAACATGGCGCCTGGACAGAAGAGTGGTTCTCTTGCTGAGAGTGTGGGCAGTGGGAGTAGAAGCAGCAGGTGCAGGCGGTATAAGCTGTACTTGTCGAAACAGAGGGGATTACAGAAGGTTGCTCAAAATTTCAAGTACTGAGTGTAGGGATGCAAAATATGGATTTGTGGTCGGGGATGAAGGCGCGTGTACACTTTGTACAGCTACACAAAATGCCTAACCCGTGCATTTGTATATCCCGGCCCTTGTTTCTCGTGCATTTAAATAGGAGCAAAGCAATGGCACAG